TATCCCTGATAAAACATACTACTACGCTGCTTGCGAATGAAATACCAACGCTGACCTTTGGTCAGACTTCGGCCATTAATGACCACGCACCTGCCTCCCTGCCCCACTGCCCCGAGCTATAATTACTATAACGTGACACAGCAAAGCCCCGCCGTCTCACGCGTGTAATCACGAGACATCGCGGTCATGTGATACTACCCAAACAAGGCCGCCAGGGACTGCATTCATTCACAATGTGACGTTGAAAGATATCGAATATCTTCGTGCGCTTGTTGTATATCTATACTAGACTAACGCTTAGTCTCTGAATATATATAATTTTGATAGTAACAAATAAACCCATTTAAATAAAAAATCCTGGAGCCCCAGGGAGACCAGAGATGAAAATCTAGACTTGCTTCATTTAGAACACTGCAGAGAGTTCTAGTCAGTAGGGAAAATAATGTGGTTCAGGGACTGTGAGAACGACTATATCTATACTGACACGCATATTTACATACACACACACACACGCACACGCACGCATATATATATATACACACACACACATACGCGCGCACACACACGCCCTAAATGTTCATCGATCTGTTTCGGACCCAGCTTGTATAAATTTATCATTTATGTTATAATTTTATTGTATTGTTCCTGTGCCATCAATGGTGGTTTGTCGGAATAAAATATTGACTGTAATCTAAAACTTATGATTCCATTACTATATGGAAGAATGCTTGATTCCGACTGGTGGAAGGAGGGCTCTGTTGTCCATGTGGTATATGTATTGTTATCAAACAATACCGTACGTATGTACAGATCGATATACTACCTATCAATACATGAAATGGCTGTCAATCATACACCGTTCGATATCGAAACGTTTGTTGACGCTTTTTCGTAAACCTCGTGTCTCCCTACTCAAAACAAAAAAAGTATCGTGACGATCTCAAAATACGAATTATAGAGGGTTTATCTGCACAGTTTGTGAATGAGCAGAAGGCGGACCCCGTTTTAAAGGAGCACCAGATTTAGGTTTATTGGCAGTCCAGGCAAAATAACAGCCTCTCGCGAGTTCAGCACACCCAGTTTACCAGTTTACGCTGTCTCCATATGTCATGACATTTTTGCGTAGACGAGGTTAATGCATAATGGCAGGAGACAGCCATAATGTGACCCATTCCAAAATAACAAGCAGTTGAAAAGAATGTCTTCCACACTCGCCGAACGACACATTATTCTACGTTGGTAACAGGAACACATTTGAACTTCATCTGGTGGTTCAACGTCACCGACCAGTTTTCGCCAGCTATATTGATATTAGTATTGGTGTCATGCAATGTTTCCTAGTATCCATTAGACTGACATTTAGTTCCAGAAATAAAGTTACATTTGACATGTCTTTATAAATATCCACAAGAATTTTAAATTAGAACTGAGGCAGTCTAGACTTGCGCAATCACTCCAGTCTCCTGTTTTAGTGTATTCTTTAGGGGCAGTGAGACAGACTAAGTATCCGTTGTCATTCTCGATTATCCAGTCAATGGATATAGAATGCAGTACATAATGTCGAGGGGGGCGGTGGGGTAGCCTAGTGGTTAAGGCGTCCGCTCGTCACGCCGAAAACCCAGGTTCGATCCCCCACATGGGCACAATGTGTTAAGTCCATTTCTGGTGTCCCCTGCCGTGATATTGCTGGAATATTGTTAAAAGCGGCGTAAAACTAAACTCACTCACTCACATAATGTCGAGGTGATCATTGTGTGCGTGGTTAGCTTGTCATTGTCCCCCACCCGGATGCACCATCGCCATCAACGTCACAGGGGCGGTAGGGTAGCCTAGTGGTTAAAGCGTTGGTTCGTCACGCCGAAGACCCGGATTCGAATCCCCACATGGATACAATGTGTGAAGCCCATTTCTGGTGTCCCCCGCCTTGATGTTGCTGGAATATTGCTAAAAGCGGCGTAAAACCAAACTCACTCAGTCAGTCAGTCAACGTCACAGCGTTATCCTAGAGGGAGTAGCGGGTGCTACCATTTCTGCGAACACCTGATGTTATTGATTTTTAGTGATGGTTTTTTAGATTTTTAACGACTTTCTTCCTTATATACTGAATGGAACCTTTGAAGTTGGAATGGTCCAACTTTCTTTACAACAGGACCTCATTACTGCTTATATCTACTGTAGGTTGATATAGGTTGTCCAATTTGACCAGGTAATGTTATTGCTTGTGAAGATGGGACATAGGTAAAAGTAAATTATCGGTCTAAACAAGATCATAATATTGTGTTTTACAATTGCGTTCAGTTCCAAAAATAGCCGATGTCATCAGCATATTGGAATGAACCTGTATGATCTTGTGTGCCCGAATTTGACACGTGTTTCATCAAGCTGTCTGATGCAATGCGAGCCCTGTTTCTGTACCTACTCTGTAAACACATGATGTATAAATAGGCTACAGCTCCATCCGCAGTTTGCTACTGCGCATGCGTAATGGATTCAATGGGTAAAATGATATATATGAATCAATGCCAAACCGGATGTACAGGGTAAACTGTCGAGGACATGATCAAACAAGACGTCCTGCGTATGTCAAACTTATTGAGTATTATTATTGAAGCTCGTCTATGCACATCGAATTAATCTGCATGCGGGGATATTTATAACCGATTTTATGTTATGCTCAAATGCCGTTTACAAAGTGAACAATGTTCATGGATCAATAATGAGTTAATGTATTATGATGCCGCTTTGAAGAATTATTTCAGTTATGCTAACGCGGGTCTGCTTGATTGAGGAGGAAACCCCGAACTGATGCAATTCTGAGACATGTTCCACTTTAGTGAAATCCAAGAACACGGTGCTGTAATGTTACAAAAAACCCTCTGGGATTCGAACCCAAAATCATCGGTTTTGTGACAGGCATGAATGGCGCAAAACTGCACAGCGATCTGGATATGCAATAAAGGCACATGTTCAAGGGTTTAACCGAAAAAAAATGAATAGTGTAAACACTGATAAGAGAACTTAATTTAGAAGATATTTCCATTGAATAGATGTGACACGCATTCAGCGCTGGTGGTGATAGGAAAGGTAGTGATTGACAGTGTTACTTGAGTGTAGCCTGACTCAGTGTAGCCAGTCTCTGATAACTATCGATATCACTATGTGATAAACGTCATAGATCACTCTCACGTCATGGTATTGACACACGTGGCTCGGGTCATTTTTGAGCACAACGTTCTCATTTAACCTACTTTAGATAGACTGAAGATCTCAAACACGATGCGTAAAGCATCAATCCTGTGATATCACTGCGTTAGAGATAAAACAATCAGCGAAACTCTCATTTTACTTGTGTTGGAATCGAACTGAGATGTTTGATGATGATGGGATGATGGGCAAACGCTTTAACCACCTAACCACCCTAACGCTGTATGAGTGTTCTGGAGACAATCCGGAAACTTATATCGCCGATACGACTGAGACCACACGACTAAAAATATAATCATTTCTAGTTCTCTAAGTTGTATCTTTTCAACACTTTATAAACACAGACGCATCTATATTCTTTAACCTTTTATAGTTAACTATTGAATTTCATTCCAATAGGCTGCAATATCCTCCACAAGCCCAGGCATTCATGGATCATGTTGCTGACTAAAGACAAAAGTCCTGAGATCCTGGCTAGCTATTCTCGAAACGTTCGTAGCCCTACGAACTTCTTAAGCCCATTCTTAACATATTGGCTACGATCAAAGTTAAGAATTCTATGGCTACGAGCGTTTCGAGAATAGGGGCGGTGGGGTAGCCTAATGGTTAAAGCGTTGGCTCGTCACGCCGAAAACCCGGGTTCGAATCCCCACATGGGTACAATGTGTGAAGCCAATTTCTGGTGTCCCCCGCCGTGATGTTGCTGGAATATTGCTAAAAGCCGCATAAACCCAAACTCAGTCAGTCAGTCAGTTTCGAGAATAAGGGCCACAGTGTTGTGACGTTTGTACTATTTAAGCTGATCTTACTAGACTAAATAATTTGACTAAACTCGTGCTGCTGTGAGTTCGCCTTCATATAGCTGGAATATTTCTGAGTGTGGCGTTAAACAATAACACTGATTCTGCTTGGTATGTCATCAAAGATGCTCGGACCAGATCCTTCCCTTGACCAATGGTGTATGTAATCGTACCTCGTCAGCCTCGTTTTGGTGTTTTCTATAAAGGTCAAGGACAGACAGAGATCCAGGGTCAGCATGTGTTCTTGTGTACTTGATCTTTTATAGTGACCTTTTCTATGTCGTCACATCATCAACTGAAGGCAAGCAACGGATCCTTAGCCACTTGTTCTTCACTATTTAAAGACCACTTTCAGGCTGGAAAACTTTTCGCTGATTTACAGTTGCTACAGGGGTGTGTTTTGTATCTGTAGGTTTAACGGGTGGTTGGGATATTTGAGCTTATGGTGTTATATATATTAAGGACATCCTTACTGGAGACGCATTGCAAGAAAACCCCAATCAAACAAGAATAAATGGAACTGGTATTAAAAGTTGAAGCTCACATTACATTATTGGCATGTATTTAGCTTTCCAATATATTGTGATACTCTTCTTCATCAAAATTCAGCGGAACTGAGTGATGTATGAAGCTTTAGTCGCCGAAAGGACGGCGTATTTTACCATGGAGTTTTCTTGGGCAATGGCATGGAGTTTCGTTTGTCTATCCTATATATAACTTTTATGCTCATGTGAAATTTGATCCAGTTGAGTATTTCCAGTAGCAATTGGATGGGTACAGAAAGGCTGTTGGCAAGTATGTCTCGGAGAATCTAGTCTGGTGTGTTCAGTGACGGCAACAATCCAGTTGTCCAACGTCTTGTTCGTTGGTAATCAGTGGGGAGGGGCTTAGTGTAGAGTGACTGTAGAGACTGGTGTATCACGCGAGTAGTGTCAAGGTTGCACGACAAGTCACATGACCTGGTGTTTAAGACCAAGCGTTACGTAGATAACATTTATTGTTCAGTCCGCCCGGTGACGGAATATCCCACTGACCGACCGCTCGACGTCCTAAAACTTTCTACCTTTGCCGAACATCTTGGGCTGGTGGGTGTTCCGGACCGAAGTCAAAATGAGTTCGAAAATTGCCAAGACCTGTCAATGCGACGTAGATTCAGAATGTTTTTGCGAGGTAAGAAATATATTCGTGTTTATTCTTCTCAAAATTTGCATAAATGGGGATCAAAGGTATCTTCTGGACATTCCTGTTTGCTTCCTCCTCGTTTGATCTTGCTGAAAGAAAATGACAGGAGACCGGAATCCATTGTATAAGTGCAATTTCCTCCGGTTGCATCGACTGCATAACCTCTTCATTGTGTGTTACTGTCAAACATGGCTTCGCGTGTTGGTTGACCATCGACAGTTGGAGACTTGCGGAAACCTTGCAGGATGTCACATTACGTAGTTTGTCAAACATCTGAACAACTATTGGACAGCTCTGTCCGTAACCCAACCTAATTAACGGTTTTATTTCTGGAAAATCCAATCTCATCTCAATCTTTGATTTCCCCTTTCTTTGCGGGTCTAGGAAGAGAAGTGATAGCATTAAATACACATTGCTTTCCCAGGGACTGATTGCCAGCGTCTTCACAAACAGATGACGTGCACACTGATTTATCGATAGTCAGAAAATCATCTCTAGTCAAGACGTACTTTCCGATCACTAAGTCAGGACGTCAGTTTTGTTGACAGCACAATCTGTCGGGACACCCAGCGTTCGTTTTACAAAATGCACCATCTAACATTCGCAACGCAACAGTGGGCTTTCGTATGTTCCACTGCTCATTGGCCCACCCGTGAAGATCCGGGTTATTGAATTGGTCTTAGAATGCTTGTCGTGGGGGCCATGCTTGCTGAGTTGGATGATGCATGTCATCGCAAGATAAGTGCTCACGATTGTCTGGTCCATGCTGAAAATTTTATTATCGTCTTGATGTAGCTGGGATATTGCAGCGTTAAACAACACGCAAACGAACTTCAACAGGAATACAACCCTCCTCTAAAAAGCTTATAAATTTGGGTATTAGGAGAAACGCGCACCTATGAAACTGAGGCGGTGTTTTAATTGTTCACAGATTGCATTATACGTTTTTTACTAACGTACCTGTAGAATACTTTTAACAGGTAAAATGTCAGTGCCAAAGAATACGCCTCTATCAACCACCGAAGTTCTTCACTGTTGAGGTATAATGTATGTCATTGTCATTGCTATTCGAGAGTCCTCGCCCTCCTGTGTGATACATTGGTCCTAGTGGCAGCCCCGGTCATGGGCCGGACTATCGTTGACCTTCACGAAGGGCGGCGCTTGGCGTACATCTGGCTGCCCTCCCGTCCTCTTGCCCGCGTCCTACTGACCCACATGGGTAGTCAGGCTTTATACATTCATCATGTTACAAAACACAGCCTCATACTGCATAATGGGTCGTGTATTTAGAATAACATGTTACGCGAACCGCCTCGAAAGTTAGTTTATTGTTGTTCAGGGCCTTTGTTAAAACACGTTTTTTCAATTTTTATTCCTGTCGGAAATATGACAACACTAGTTGCATGTTTCATACTTGCTGCACATGTATTTAATGCGTTTGTATTTGTTTTCCTAGTTAGTGCTGATCTTATGTCATTTTCTTCTTTCTTGCAGATCGAGGCTTTTGTCAAGGGCTTCAAATTGTCGACCTTGACCTACAAGCGCGTGATGCATTTACTGAATCAGGAGATGAACAATGGCTTGAAGGAACATACACACCATGTGGCGGACATCAAGATGTTCCCGACATTCGTCAGATCGCTCCCGGATGGCTCAGGTAAGGCCCTTGGGGGAAGGAGATTCGAATAAGAATGTTGAGGATGTCCGTTTTAGTAAGGCCACTGAAATAAAGCAATTTGAAGGACAAGTAAAGAAATGATCTAGTTCATGGAGGGAATTGAGCAGGGATATTGACTTAAGGACAGTAGTAATTTCTACTTTAGATAAATTACATCGATTAAAGGTTCCACTAAGGCCACTTTGCCACAGCTGGTTGCTAAAGACCATTATGGTCACTGGAGTAAGGCCACGGCAGTCGAACAGACTTTTTGTGCATGTATGCGGCCTTCTGTCGGTAGATCAGAAAGTCAGTGGTGAAAACGTCCAGCCAGTAGTCGTTTCTTTCATTTTCAACTGATAGGTTTATACTCCTTTTGTAGAAAATGGAGATTTTCTTGCCCTTGACCTTGGCGGTACGAACTTCCGGGTGCTGCTGGTGAAGCTGAACAAGGGAGATGTGGACATCCAGAGCAAGACCTACCTTATCCCTCAGAGAATCATGCTCGGGACAGGACAACAGGTGCGTGGATCAGGGTGGTGGCCATTGGGGTGGGGGTTGTTTGAGTTATGTTTCATTTTTGTCTTAACGTATCTTTTTCTCGAAGCTGTGTCAGTGTGTGACATATGTGATCATGTCTTTGTGTTTGCTTGCAGTTGTTCGATCACATCGCTGACTGTATCGGGAAGTTTGTTCGGGATCACGACCTGGTCGGACAGAAACTACCCTTGGGATTCACATTCTCCTTCCCATGCAGACAGGAAGGACTTGCCAAAGCGAGGCTTTCAAAATGGACGAAGGGCTTCCGATGTGAGGGTGTTGTGGGTGAAGACATATGCCATCTGCTACACGAAGCGCTCCGGCGCAGAACGGTAAGAGCAGGACAATGTTCCCCAAATACGGGCTGTTTGACACTCGGCTTGACGTCTTCATAGCAACTAGCAGCCATTTTCCCTAATATATTTTGTACAGCATTGGATAGTTTAAGTATCGTGCAGAACAATTTGTCTTCTACAATCCCACGGTTTGTGAACAGGGCGGGTGGTTGCTAGCTAGTTAAGTGTTTCCCTTTTCGGCTCGATTCCCATGTGGGTACAATATGTGAAGCCCATTTCTGGAGTTCCCCACCTTTCCCCATTTGGCTAGGTTCTCGTTGGCAGCAGCTAAAGCAATGCCCACAGTTTATAATGTAAAAGTAACACACCCAAGACATTAGCAGGATTTTTGTAGCCATTTCTGTACTATTACACATGTGTTGGTACGACTTGTATTTGTTTATGACTGTCGAGTACATGTGTATAGTTTCTGTTACAGAATTGTGACGTAGAGATCGTCGCTATCGTCAACGATGCCGTGGGAACGCTGATGTCAGCTGCGCACACAGACAGAGACTGCGAAATCGGACTTATTCTGGGTAAATACATCTGTTATTTTATTTATCAAATAGCATTGTGTTTAGTTGTAGCAGACAGAACATATTGAAAAGAACAAACGATGCTGACAACGCTGGTCTTTTGTTGACAGGAACCGGATGTAACGCTTGCTATATGGAGAAACTGGACAATGTTGGATTGTGGGACGGGGACTACACCCATCCCGAACAGGTATGTCTCTAGCCAGGAATTATTCAATCCATCCATCCATTCATTTGGCTCTCTTCAGTCAATGCACCAATCCAGTCAAGCACAAACACGCACGCGCGCACACATGCACGCTCACGCATACATAGAATGGATCTGGATGTCTGAATGTGATCGACACAATATGAGAAGAATGTGTTCAATACTAACATAAATTCTAGGTCTATCATGTTTGTTCGCTATTCACCTAGTCGATGACCAGAGTGTGGTTGTCTTTTGTATTCTGGCAGCTGCTGCACAGTACTAAGCCTTTTGGAACACATGTTCAGGACGAAGCTTGAAACAGTCAAATTAAGTTTCTGATTTCTGATTCAGGTTATTATCAATACGGAATGGGGAGCCTTTGGAGATAATGGGTGCCTAGACTTCCTGCGGACTGAATACGATCGAGAGTTGGACACTTTCTCCATCAACCCTGGCAAACAAGTGTAAGTCGGAGTCTACATACTCATAATGTAAAATGAAAAGATACACGACTGACCATTACATTATATGTACAACTTACAAAAAGTCACCCCCGATTCAAAGGTAATGTGTTACAATACCCATAAGCTATGGCAGCTGAACGATAATCATAGGAACAAATGGGATGTTCTTTAAAAGCCATGGTTGAGTACTACATAGTTCTATGTTCGCACGGGCGGTGGGGTAGCCTAGTGGTTAAAGGGTACGCTCGTCACGCCGAAGGCCCGGGTTCGATTCCCCACATGGGTACAATGTGTGAAGCCAATTTCTGGTGTCCCTCGCCGTGATATTACTGGAATATTGCTAAAAGGGACGTAAAACCATACTCACTCACTCACTCGATGTTCGCAGAAATATGAAACCAAAACCGATTTCCAATAACTTTTTAAGACAGGAAAATATGAGCAACATTGATTATTCACTGGGAAGTCGGTTGATATGACATATTATTCCCGGAATAGACTCTGCCATGACAAGTTGTCTGATTAGCTATATTGTTCTGGAACTGCGGGTTTTCTTTTGATTGGAATACCTGAATTGTACGGCTTGATATCTTTAGGATTTTTAATTATGTCACACGTGATAAAGACACTTGTGAAGGAGATACTGGGAAACATTGTGAATGACACATATACACACTCACTCAATCAATCACTTCGCACACCGCAGAGACAGACATAGACTCCCGTTATACATATATGCGACGGATTTAGGTGACGGTGTGGCTGAAGGTTTATAATGGTCTGTTATGTGTTCCCAGATTAGAGAAGATGATCTCCGGTATGTACATGGGAGAGATAGTCAGACTCGTCCTTGAGCGTCTCGCCATGGAAGGCCTCATCTTTCGCGGTGCAGACAGAGATTGCTATCTGTTCGAGAGAGGAAAATTCTACACCAAATACGTCTCTGAAATCGAAAGGTAAACACTCTTATTCTTACACTCATTTGCTATTTCGGTAACGCCACATTTACAAGGGTTAATCCTGCTATAGTCTGTCTCACAGTCCCTGAACCACATTAATTTCCCTACTGCCAAGCCCTCTCTGCAGTGCTAAAGCCCTAAATAAAGCAAGTCTAGATTTCCTCAGGTTCAGGTTCTGAAATTCTGGTCTCCCTAGGACTCCTTTTCAATATAAATGGGCTTGTTTGTTACTATCAAAATTATATATATTCAGAGACTAATCCTTAGTCTAATCCTACTATTGAGATAATGTGAACGATTTCACATGCCTATTGTTTATTCTGTTGTAGCGACCATGACGAATTTTTCCGCAACACTAAGCAGGTCCTTGACGAGATTGGTGTTGAGAATTACACCACAGAAGACTGTAAGATTGTTAAGTACGTCTGCACCCTCATCTCAGCAAGAGCTGCATTCCTTTCAGCTGCTGGTAAGTACTTCCGGCCATGTGATTGCCACATCCGGTTTACATATGTGTTTTAGTTTGAGAAAAGGAAATGTCATAACTATCAGAACGTCCACGTGTGTTTGAAGGGCTTACAAGTTCGCTGAATGTAATTTTGCAATGATTATATATTATCCATAACTGATTGTGTACCGGATATATATTGTCTGGCACTGATTGTTTACTGACTGGGTACTAGTTCTTCATTGTCGGATACTTATTGTTTACTGATTGTACTCTGGTTCTTCATTGTCGGATACTTATTGTTTACTGATTGTACTCTGGTTCTTCATTGTCTGATTGTGTACTCTCCCCATCAGGGTTGTCCACTCTGATCAACAAGAAGAACAAAGGTGACATGACCATCGCAGTAGACGGGTCCCTGTACCGCTTCCACCCCCGCTTCCACAACCTAATGAGCCTCAAGATGCAGGAGCTCGTCAAACCAGGGCTCAAGGTACGCAGTCTGTCTTCTCATTCACGTAGAGCATCATCACACACCATGTAAACTTCCAGAAGTTTCTTTGGGCTTGTTTAAGGCATACATCGATCAGAACATTAGCTTAATTAGTCGCGATCTGGTCCCGATCCACAGTTCGTTCGTAGAGCTACGACATTCCTAAGCTCATGATAAACCGTTGGAACTCTTTGTGGATCAGGACCCAGGTCGTAAGTTTGTCCCTATGTCCCTATATTTACAGAATATCAGTTTTTGCGTTACTATAGAATAACCAGCTATAAACCCACCTTTTGCATCTTTCAGTTCCGACTTCAACTATCTCACGACGGATCAGGAAAGGGTGCCGCTCTGGTTGCTGCCGTTGCTATGCGACTGAGGAACTCGATAAAGCAGGAATGTGTATGAGGGAAAACACGCTAGATGGCGCTGTAAATAATACTTTGCAAATGGCAGCATTTAACTATGTGTATATATCTGCTACTGACACCCGAATGGTCATAATACGTTTGCCCTCTTTGGCCAGCGAGCAATGCAAAATACTTCCTTGTTTGGGAAGGAAGTGGACATGATACGTTCTGGTTGCCGCCATTTCTCAGCCCCATCCTGTGCCTTCCGGCACATTGCGCATGACATAATGGACTGTCTTTCCGGAAGTCTTTCTCAACACCCATACACGCAAAAGAAGTCGACAACTCCTGAAGCTTTGTTTGAATTACATGTATGCTGAAACTACCGTAACTGTCTGTGATGATGTGCTCGTGGTATATATTACCTGTTGCTTTGGTGCTACATGCAACAGATGGCTGGGGAGACAACTCTCACTGTGATAGGTAGCGGACTGTGTTGTCTACCTTTGATGAAGGACGATTGCAGTTACCGTGAAGTGTGTGAATGATAAGAAGGGAGCATGCCGTTCGGCTTCGTCTGTCAGTACCAATAAACGCTTGTGATTCTAGTACACGTAGAGTGTCGTTTGTGTGTTGAAGCGTTCGAAGAACAAACATTTGTTACCGGTATTGATCAAATTGGTGCACTGTTCTGACTGTGGTATTTGCGCTGCCTGTGTATGATGTGACCGCATAGTTGCCGAGTGTTAATCATTTACCAGTTAAAACTACCGTTAGCTTGAACCCAGCATTATAATGGCAGCTATTATCCATATTTCGTTCCGTTTCTAGCGGTACATGATGCTTAACTCTTTTACTGGTAAATCCGTATCATCTGGCTGTACAGTGTGCATACTTGTAGATCTCGGGGATGTTAGTGCCAGCAGTATACACATACACCGGGCCACGTGACAATGGCGTTGCCTAGCAACGTCAGTCTTATTCGACATCTTAACTCCCATCTGTGATTGCTAACGTGTAGAGTCTTCTACTCATAAATAACAAGACAAATAATGCAATGTTATTATGTTTGCGTCTACTCTTGTTTTTGTTTTGTTTGAAAGCGCGACATGCTGATTTGGTAGTTTTATGCGTGTTGATATGTACATATTGTTTTTATTGTAAGAAATGATAAACTATATGGGTTATATACTCATGCCAACATACTCCAGGTCGAGGGGTCAGTGTTTCGATCGCGTTGGACATGTATATACGTCGGAAGATAACTTGAGAGCAGTGTGTAATATTTGACAATCTTGGCTTGCTCCTCACGAATCTCTTACTAATATTTCTATGTAAATGAAGCTTTGTATATAACAAATAAACATATAAGAATACAAGGTTTTGTGTCATTTGTCATGTACAGTTTGTAAATGTGTAAATCTAATGCATTAGACGGATCTAATGCTGAAAGAGCTTGCCGAACCCTTATCAAACAGGATGTCTTATCATGCATTCATCCAAACTAGCCCTCATGTTTGAAATGCACTCTCTCACCAAATGGAATATTTCGTTGATCCGTGTTAAATATGGTCATGTGTCTCTCTCTCACACACACACACACGCGTGCACGCACACTCAGGAAGGGGGCATGAACAGGGACACACAGGGTCACACACACAGAGGGGGACATGCACACACGGGTCACGCACACAGGGGGGGGGGGCCATCAGGGACAAATACACACAGAGGGGTCACGCAAATACACACAGAGGGAGCAGGGGCACACACAGAGGGGGCAGGGACACATACTCACAGATGGGGCAGGGACACACACACAGAAAGGGGGCAGGAACACACACAGAAAGGGGCAGGGACACACACACAGAAAGGGGCAGGGACAACACAGAGGGGGCAGGGACACACACACAGACAGGGGCAGGGACACACACAGACAGGGGGCAGGGACACACACAGAGGGGGCAGGGACACACACAGAGGGGGCAGGGACACACACAGGGGGCAGGGACACACACAGACAGGGGCAGGGACACACACAGAGGGGCAGGGACACACACAGACAGGGGCAGGGACACACACACACAGACAGGGGGCAGGGACACACACACAGAGGGGGGGAGGGACACACACAGACAGGGGGGGGGCAGGGACACACACACAGACAGGGGGCAGGGACACACACAGACAGGGACACACAGGCAGGGACACACACAGACAGGCAGGGACACACACACACAGGGACAGACACACACACAGGGGGCAGACAGGGGCAGGGACACACAGACAGGGGGCAGGGACACACACACAGACACACACACAGGGGGGGACAGGGACACACACAGAGGGGGCAGGGACACACACAGACAGGGGGCAGGGACACACACACAGACAGGGGCAGGGACACACACAGACAGGGGGGGGCAGGGACACACACAGACAGGGGGCAGGGACACACACACAGACAGGGGGCAGGGACACACAGACAGACAGGGACAGGGACACACAGACAGGGGGCAGGGATACACACAGACAGGGGGCAGGGACACACACACAGACATGGGGCTGGGACACACACACACACACACACAGGGGGCAGGGACACACACACAGAGGGGGCAGGGACACAAGATAGTGGCTGGAGTCACCCGGGATTAACTCCGCTTTGAACAGTTACCTCGTTATACCGGTATTAAACATGGTAGTCTGGTGAAAGGTGGAAGATTGTGATATTAGTTTTGAAGCCACTTGTAACACTTGTGGGAGGAAATCCACCCTCACAGTACACAGTTGTATGTGACCCTAAAGATTTACGTATGTTTGTAGACCACTATGTCCCCACAAAGCCCACCCATGCCAAGTACACAGTTGTATGTGACCCTAAAGATTTACGTATGTTTGTTGACCACAATGTCCCCACAAAGCTCACCCATGCCAAGTACACAAAGTTTATGTTTATGACGCCTGGGGATTCCAGGTCAGAACAGGTTCCCAGAAAACTCTGCTCGTTACAGCCAACTCTTTATGTCCGTTCTAGTCTGTCTCACAGTCCCTGAACCTCATTATTTTGCCTACTGCCTAGCCCTCATGGAATGCTAAAGCCCTAAACGAAGAAAGTCTAGATTTCCTCAGGTTCTGAATCTCCAATCTCACTGGGGATCCTTTTTAATTAAGATGGGTTCATTTGTTACTACCAAAATTATATATATTCAGAGGCTAAGCGTTAGTCTAGGCCGTTCGAGCTCCGTTGTTTTCGTGGCTTGCCATCGGTAGTCATTAGTAGGGAGGTAAACAACAACAACAACTGAGATCACTCACGGCGGGCCGAGCTGAACAGCTGACGCTGTTCGACCCAATCAATGACCGGTCGGAGAAGAATAACATGTTATCTGGCATGAGTCACTGGTTTGTTGCTCCCGAATCACAGAACATGGAACTGTGCTTCGTTTTTATCCGGGTGAGCTGCACCCAGAATAGGACAGTGATTCATCCTCGACACAAACAACCACATATACCACAAGATTGTGTTGTCTAAATGAGCACAATGTAATATGCCATACGAGCAAACTGTGAATGTTTCATGAGTGTGTGCGTGCGTGTGCGCATATGTTTATCCAGAGAATATGTTTACTATTTGGGCAAAGGACCAGGTATCATACAAATCACGCACCACCAACCCCTCACAATTCCAGACTCACCACCCACTTTATAACATCCACCCAGCCTACCTAGACATCGCCCCCACTCCTAGTGATTCCAGACTTACAACCCACTTTATAACATCCACCCAGCCTACCTAGACGTCGCCCCCACCCCTAGTGATTCCAGACTTACCACCCACTTTATAACATCCACCCAGCCTACCTAGACGTCGCCCCCACCCTTGATTCCAGACTTACACCCACTTTATAACCACCCAGCCTTAGACATCGCCCCACCCCTAAGACCCACCACCCTTTTTATAACATCCACCCAGCCTACCTAGAGACCCACCCCTCGACCCCCACCCACCCCACTCAGTGATTCCAGACCCACCACCCACTTTATAACACTCACCCAGCCTACCTAGACATCGCCCCCCACCCGTAGTGATTCCAGACCCACCACCCACTTCATAACACTCCACCCAGCCTACCTAGACATCGCCCCCACTTCCAGATTCCAGACCCACCACCCACTTCATAACATCCAGCCAGCCTACCTAGTCATCGCCCCCACCCCAGTGATTCCAGACCCACCACCCACTTCATAACACCCACCCAGCCTACCTAGACATCGCCCCCCCACCCCTAGTGATTCCAGACCCACCACCCACTTCATAACACCTGCACCCAGCCTACCTAGACATCACCCTCATGATTCCAGACCCACCACCCACTTCAGCCATCCACCAGCCTACCTAGACGCCCCCATCGCCCCCACCCTTTAGAACACCCACCCAGCCTACCCTAGACGTTCCACCCCCAATTCCAGACTTACCACCCACTTTATAACATCCACCCAGCCTACCTAGACATCGCCCCCACCCCTAGTGATTCCAGACTCCAACCACCCACTTAGACATCGTCTTCCAACACCAGACTTACCACCCAGCCTACCCCCCCCTAGATTTCATCATCCACCCAGCCTACCTAGACATCGCACTAGTGATTCCAGACCCACCACCCACTTCATAACACCCACCCAGCCTACCTAGACATCGCCCCCACCCCTAGTGATTCCAGACCCACCACCCACTTCATAACACTCACCCAGCCTACCTAGACATCGCCCCCACCCCTAGTGATTCCAGACCCACCACCCACTTCATAACACTCACCCAGCCTACCTAGACATCGCCCCCACTTCTATTGATTCCAGACCCACCACCCACTTCATAACATCCAGCCAGCCTACCTAGACATCGCCCCCACTCCTCGTGATTCCAGACTCACCACCCACTTTATAACATCCACCCAGCCTACCTAGACATCGCCCCCACTCCTAGTGATTCCAGACTCACCACCCACTTTAGAACACCACCCAGCCTACCTAGACATCGTCTTCCACCCCTCGCAATTTCAGACTCACCACCCACTTTATAACATCCACCCAGCCTACCTAGACATCGCCCCCACCCCTATTGATTCCAGACTCACCATCCACTTCATAATATCCACCCAGCCTACCAAGCCATCGCCTCCACCCCTATTGATTCCAGACTTACCACCTACTTCATAACATCCACCCCACCTACCTAGTCATCGCCCCCACCCCTAGTGATTCAAGACCCACAACCCAGGGATTAGATATCTATTCGAATCTTTGCCCCTAAACACATTAATTACCGTACTTAATCCCCTACCAAAACACAAACTGTTTACAGATGCTGCTCACCTATTGATGTTTAGTGTCCACTCTAGTATATAGAAAAATAATGATCTAAAAACTACAGACTCACATTCCGTGATAGAGAAAATAGAATTTGTTGATTCTACTTCCTGCCAATGAATTCCTGGCACAGAACCAACTACAATAGAGCAATGTCATCACAATGGTACAATCGTGAGAACATCAATGCAGCGAGATAGGTATCGATAGCCCCAACACAAGAGTGCCGAACTCCGCCCATTGACAAACGCTGTCTGTCAATCAATAACAGAACCATTGTTGTATATGTTGTATAATGTTGAAACATCGATCTATCTACATTTCCAGTTCTATGTACATTTGTAAAACAAACTAATTATATTCGCCTACCGCCATGCCCTACCTCAACAAATTGATGACAACTGTTTGTGAGAAGGACAAATGTATGACCTCGTGACATACATAACGACTGTTTACTGGGCTTAAAGAGTGATGTAATATACAAGGAAATTTCCGTAGCTGAAAAATATATTTGTATTTTGTAAGCAATCTGAAAGTTCGGCGCAACAGGCATGAAGCAAACGGCGTATGGGACAGATCCCTCCGTTGAGGGATCAGTTGCATCTTGTGTAAGCGCCAGAAGTGGCTTCCAAAAATAAGGAATAACTGTACACTTGCTCAAGTCTCTAAGGTAACAGTAATAGTTTAAAGGTAATTTGTAAAAATTATAAATAAGAAGAACATATTGTCTCACTAACAGACTAGCGTCCATGTACTGCCCGCTTATCTAGACTTACCTCTTTAAACGATACAGTTACTATACATCCATGGCTTAGCATTCAGTACAGCCTTAGAGCAAGACTAGGATAACTGCTGGGAGGGATGATGGACTTTGGACCCGAGACTGTAAACAAGTTCTGTTTATCAGGCTTTCGCCTACCGATAAAGGAGATATCATGTCAAAATAGGGTAATCCTTACAAAACTTTCCACTGGTCACGCTGATATTTTTGAAAGTAGTGCAATTGTTG